CTTCAGAAATTGGCATAATGCAAACTCTGCGTTCACTAGCTCTTTCTCTGTTTTCATCCACACATTTATTCAACACATTTATTAAGTGTCTACCATGTGCCTGCACTGTTCTAAAAGTTGTGATACAGTGTATCTTTCTATTAAGTCTCTGTGATAGGTCTGTACTATTTTAGATGCTGGAATATTGCAAAGAACCAAGTCCCCATCTTCATGAATGGAACCTACATTCTGGTTCACCATTGTATCCTAGTACTGGGCTCTGTAAATACATGTTGAATGAATAATTGAATGACACCAGCTTGTGCTATGTTGCTGCAAGCACAGCTTTTCTGTGGAATGCACTAATGATGTGGTGTTGGAACTTAAGAATTTTGATTTTCTAGTTTTTCCTGTCCTGCCTATGCCTTTTCCTCCAACGCTCAGAAGTCATCAGTAAGTTCTCAAAGAAAGAGCACTTCAAACTGTACTACTTGTTTTCAAAGTAAACTCTAGAGTTTTCCCTGCCACGGAGAAATCTGAAACTATAGGCTGGCAGTTCTGCCTTGTAAACAAACAGCTAATGGGTCTGTGAGTCACCAGTTGCCTCAGGGGACTGCCCACTCCCCTGACATCAGGTGCCCAAGGGCTCTTGGTAAATGCCAGATGTTGCTGCCAGTGGTGGGTGGTGTTGGCGTCAACTCAGGCTGTAGGAACAATCTAGCATCACTCTAAAAAAAGGAAAGCTTGCTGCTCTCTTGCTAATGAAGTCTGAAACAGGAAATGGGGGTGCCAAAATATGGTCTCAGATATCTGTGAGCTAAAGCTGCAGGGTTTGGTAGCACTGTCGTTCCTTTAGTTTATAAAAAACAGAAATCATGAAGGTATTTAACTTCTGGGAAGATGAATACTTTGAAAACACACATAATAATCCTTAGAAAACTAATAAATAGAATACTCACGTCAGTTGAAAAGAATGAGGTATTATCATGTGTACTAATAAGGCTAGATCTCCAAGACATATTATTAAGTGGAAAAAGCTTGCAGGTAGATGAGTGCGTACCTTGTATATTAAAACCAAACTCACTACCAAAAATGACAACATAGGGATTCCCCTGGCAGTCCAGTGGTTAAGACTCCGCGCTTCCACTGCAGGGGGCGTTGGTTCAATCCCTGGTCAGGGAACTAAGATCCTGCATGCTGTGCGGCGCAGCCAGAAAAAAATGACAACATACACAATGATGCTATGTATATACATCATGGGGCACATATGTGTGTGTGTGTCCAGAAGAAGGTTTGCAGCATACGGTTACTCTGAGGAGGCTAGAAAGGAGACAGGACTGTGGATTGTGATCAGAGGGAACCTTAATTGTAATATTTCAGTTTTTTAGAGGAATGTTTCATTTATAAGTTTTAACACTTAACATTAATTTTAAAAGAAAATATTAATAAGTTGTTAGAGCAGGCAAACACTACATGTGGTCCTTAGTAAAGCAGAGCATTAACCTTCTGAGCAAGTTTGTTATATAGACATGGTTCTATGGCTTTCCAGAAATATCCTGTCTGAAACCGACCACATGAAAGATGCCCACACATGGCAGAGGTACAAACGTGAAAAGAAATACTGTCATATGTAAGCCAAGTAGTACTGGAACTGACATTTGCTCAACAGGCCTTTACTATTTGGATTCAGTCAACTGTGTTGAATTCTGCTATTTCTATAGTACTTTATGGCTTTCAGATTATCTCATTTGAGTCGCACAACTTTCTAATCGGTAGGGCTCGACTCATCATCTCCATTTCACAAGTTAGAAAACTGAGGTTCAGAAAAATTAAGTGACTTGTCTAAGATCAAGGTTAGTAAAGGGGCAGAGTACCTGTATTTTCCAGGAGCTGAATGCCTTCTCTAATTTCTCCATTCTCAACAAATCCAACTCGAATAGTTAAGAGAAGCTGTCAGACCCTAGCTTTCATCTTCTTGCTGGCAGCCCCCTTGGCCCACTTTCTACTTGAACCTAGGTAAGTGAACTCAAATCCAAAATCCAATTTCAGAACATAGTACATAGTACTCCATCCTGGCACAGTTGCAAGTGATAAATGACGCAGTGCTGGGCTTGATACCACAGCCCTGTGCTGCCTGGTGACAGCTGGTACTCTGTCATGTCCTCTCAACTTTTCATGATGGGTCCATATCCTGTCTCCCCAGCTAAGTCAGAGCCCTCAGGGACCTTCTCTTATCCTTCCTTAACTCTCAGTAGCCAGCCTCTCAATATGCACTTGATAAGTTCCTTCAGCCTCATAATGTAGCCAGAACAGGATAAACTTACGTGTTGTAACACACTTTTTTTTTTTTTTTGGGGTACGCGGGCCTCTCACTGTTGCGGCCTCTCCCGTTGCGGAGCACAGCCTCCGGACGTGCAGGCCATGGCTCACGGGCCCAGCCGCTCCACGGCATGTGGGATCCTCCCGGACCGGGGCACGAACCCGTGTCCCTTGCATCGGCAGGCGGACTCTCAACCACTGCGCCACCAGGGAAGCCCTGTAACACACTTTTAAATGAACACACTGCCCGTGAGAATTGACACTTCTGAAAATAAACTCTTGCTCTTCCTCCTCACCCCTCCAAGCCTGCCTATCCCACGTCCTTTATCACAATCAATCAGTGACAGTTCGACTTTCACAGCTTGTAAGCCCCAAACCTTGGACTCCCTCCTCTCTTTCTTTTATACTTTACTTCCAATCTCTTATAAGCCTCGTTGGCTCTGCCTTCTAATTCCATTCAGAGTCCAGCCATTTCTGCCCACCTCTAACTGCTTCCTCCCTGGTCCAATTCATGGTCATCTGGGTCATTGGAATGGCCTCCATTTGCCTCTCCCTAAAACAGCCCTTGACGCCCAGTTTCTTCTCAAGATAGCAACCAATGGATCCTGTGGCCATCTAGGTCGACCACTTCTCTCCCTCTACTTGAAAACCTCCAAAGGTTTGCTCAGCTCACATGGAACAAAATCCAGTCCTTGCCGTGTCCCCAAAGGTCCCACATTCTATCATCTCCTATTCCTCTTCCTCCTGGCCTATTCCTCTCTAGGGCCCCTGGCATCCCTGCTTTTCCTCAGGCACCCTACTGTTTATTCTCTCTTCTCTGGGGTATTGCACACGGCTTTCACTCTCCCTGAAATGCTCTTCCCCTTGAAATCAGGGCTAGCTTGCTCATCATCTTTTTTTTTTTTTTTTGCAGTATGCGGGCCTCTCACTGTTGTGGCCTCTCGCGTTGCGGAGCACAGGCTCCGGGCGTGCAGGCTCAGTGGCCACGGCTCACGGGCCTAGCCGCTCCACGGCATGTGGGATATTCCTGGACCAGGGCACAAACCCGCGTCCCCTGCATCGGCAGGTGGACTCTCAACCACTGTGCCACCAGGGAAGCCTTGCTCATCATCTTTAAGTCTTTGCTTAAGTGTCACCATATAGGGAGGTTTTCGCTGATCACCCCATTTAAAACTGCAGCCACCACCCCTCTCCCCAGCACACACGCATACACACACACACACATACAACTTCCTGGCACTTCTTGTCCCCTTTCCTGCCTTATTTTTCTCCATAGTACATACCACTTTCTAACGCACTCAATAATGTATTGTTTCGTTTGTGGAACTTCCCTACTGGGATGTTTGCTCCAAGAAAGTATGGATTTTTGTTTCCTAGAACATGCCTGGCACATAACTGATGTTCAGTAAATATTTGTTGAATAAATAAGATTGACAAAGATGAACATTCCATAGTATTGGTGGGGATTTAGGGAAACACCCTTTCATATGTTGCCGGTCAGAGTGTAAATTGGAATTACCTCTTTGGAGGGCAATTTGGCAAGATCCATCAAAATTTAAAAAGGCATCTTACCTATGACCCAGAAAGTCAGCTGCCAAATATTTATTCAAGGGATACACATGTCCAAACACATAGTGAAAGGATATTCACTGCAGCATTATTTTAATATCAAAAGGCTGGAATGAACTTAAATGTCCATTCATAAGGATCTGGTTAAAATAACATAAGGGCATGAACTACATAAATGCAACTACATAAATGCGTAAATGCGAAGAACGATAGAGGAAGTTATACATGTAGTGGGTGGAAGAGTCTCCATGGTAAACGGAGTGAAACAAGCCAGGGACAGAAATGTGTGGAGTATGCCACTGTTGGGGTAAAAAGGGAGAGGACTACGGGTGCCTATACTTACAAGTGTGCAGAAGGGTAAGTAATATACACACACACGCACACATAAATAGCTCTGCAAAGTCGCAAAATACTGATGATAGAGGTTGCCTTTTTTGAGGGAATTATTCAAGGACTGGGAGACTTGAAAACGATTTTTAAAAGTTCGTTGTGAATATAGTACTTAAAAAAACTCACTTCTGTAATGCATCAACCCTATTCTTTCGCTAACTTTTACTCTTTGTGGGACTGACATGTTAAAAATTTGCCCTAACCTCCGCTTTGAAGGCAAGGGTGGGGCTGGGAAGGAGGACCTTTTATTTCCTCAGGGAGTGAAGCCAATAAAACGTATAAATAGATCCAGCCCAACCTCGTGCTCAGTGACTCGAGGGCTTGCCCCTCCTTCCCCCAGCCCCGTCCCCCACGGTGCCCTCGGATTTTGCCGTCTGGCGGCTGGAGTCCCTGCTTCCTCCTTAGAGGGCAGCAGCGAAGCGTCTCGGGAACGCATGCGCCCCAATTTGCGCCCGGGGAATTAAAGCGAGAGAAGAAAAGCCCCAACAAAACCCGCGCCCTAAACAAAACCCAAGTGGAGGGAAGCGCGCGGCCCTGCAGCTCCGGGGCCGTGAAGGCGCCTCCCGCCTTGCCCGCGTCCCCGGCCGCAGCGTGATGCGCACGGACCGGCCCGCGACGCCCCGGCCGCCACTGTCCCCGCACCTGGACGCCGGTTCGGTGGCCGCGCCGCAGCCGCGCTCGCTCGCCGCCGCCGCCGCGGCTTCCTCGGAGTCGTTCGGCGCCGGCGGGGCACCTCGCTCTCCATGGGGCTGAGGGCCTGGCTGAGGATCGTGTGCTGCTGCTGCTGCCCGTGCAGGTGCCTGGAGGAGCCCGCCGTGCCCGAGAAGGAGCCCCTGGTCAGGTGGGTGCGCGCCCCGGACGCGATCTGGGGCTCCCTGGCCGTTGCCGGGCGCCGCGGAGTGCGGATACTCGTGTGCTCGTCAGAGCTGGGGACGTGCGCTTGCTTTAAGGTCACACTGAGGCGCAGATTAAGCCCCTGGGTTCCTTACAGGAGATCCTGCTCCTTGGGTTTGTTCCTCGGGTAAAATATTTGCCTGAAAGCACAGATCCTCGGAGACACCTGAGACCCAAGTGGAAGCCTGTGGAAAACGGCAAGAATTCGGGTGCAGTGACCCCGCAGAGAAGTAGGGGAGAGAAGTTTGCATAGGGGTCCGATTAAATACAACTGTGACTGCCTATTTCTGTTTCAGTGAAATGGGCAACTGTGAATTTCTGTTTCACCCAGGAAAAAAGTTGGATACGTTGTCATTCAATTTTATTACTGAAAGAAGACGATCGCAGTGACTGAGTGCAAGGAAATATTTTTCACATTAAAAAAAAGTACATATTTTTCTCAAGGGACAGCTTATTCACTGGGATGTTGATTCATTACAGATTAAGCTATGAAGTGTGAGGAAATTTAATGCACATTAGCGATGTGCTAAGTGGCTTTGTGAAGGCACCATCCAGCACAGCTTTGTTCAGGGCTGTGATTGTAAGCAATTATTTTATATCCTGACTGATGAAATTAAAGTTTCACTAGGGCATGACTTGGAGGTAGATATGATAGAAACAAAATATTTAAAATGAAATTAGGAAATAGTAGATGAGGCAGAACTCCAGGGTTGGGTAAGCAAACGTGGAAGCCAGTGTTTGTTATGAAGTATGCAACTAATATGATAAAGCTTTCACAATTTTTTTTTTTTTTGGCTGTGTTGGGTCTTCAGGGCTTTCTTTAGTTGCCACGAGGCTGCTCTTCGTTGCAGTGCGTGGGCTTCTTATTGCGGTGGCTTCTCTTGTTGCAGAGCACGGGCTCCAGGCACACAGGCTCAGTAGTTGTGGCTCATGGGCTCTAGAGTGCAGGCTCAGTAGTTGTGGCACACAGGCTTAGTTGCTCCACGGCACGTGGGATCTTCCTGGACCAGGGCTCGAACCCGTGTCCCCTGCATTGGCAGGTGGATTCTTAATCACTGCGCCACCAGGGAAGTCCCTCACAACTTTTTTAAAAGCATGATTTACCTTTTCTTACTCTATCGAGTCCAAACATTTTACCTTGATTTTTGAGATCCTACATAACCCCTTCCCTCCTGTCCACTATTATTTTCTGGTACATTACACACTGTACACTCCTTGATTTAATCAGACAGGCATCCTTACTGCACTAGGAACAATCCAACCTTCTTATTCTCTCCAAGCTTGCTTCAAATAGTGACCTTTATTCTTTCTGCCCCTTCCTAAATGCTAGTTCTCAAAGTCTCCTCAAGCAGTCTTCTTTGATTTTTTTTGCCCTTATTCATCTTTCTCTCCAATAACATAGGGTTTAGAACTTGCCATCTGCCCCTCACTGTTTAGTGAGCACACATGTATGTAAATATGTCCTGTTTGTATTCTATGTATAAAGTCATACACACAATACCCAATGTTTTTGTTTGCTCTTGCAGTGGTGTTCCCACTTGGATTATTAGATTGTTGCGGGCACGGAGAAACCCAGTAATCTACTGCGAGTCTTAAACGTAGTGGGTAACAATCTGGAGTTTCATGCTTGGGTTTTACAGTCAACTTATCAATATTCATAGTAGCATGAAATACAGCTCTCAGCTTGGTCTCATTCTCAGAGCCTTGGGTGTTTCCAATATTCTTTATGGAATTGCTATTTAAGATGATAGTTTTGGTTGTTTTAATTTTTAAAATATTTTTATTTTTTTGCGGTACGCGGGCCTCTTACTGTTGTGGCCTCTCCCGTTGCGGAGCGCAGGCTCTGGACGCGCAGGCTCAGCGGCCATGGCTCACGGGCCCAGCCACTCCGCGGCCTGTGGGATCTTCCCAGACCAGGGCACGAACCCGTGTCCTCTGCATCGGCAGGCGGACTCTCAACCACTGAGCCACCAGGGAAGCCCAGTTTTGGTTGTTTCAAAACCTCAACCCTCCCCTGCCTTGATTTACACTGTAAGTCAGTGAATTTTGCAAGTGAGTTTAAGAAGACAGAGTCAGTTGGGGCAGAATAGCATAGTGCTCATGAATCAGATTGCCTTGGGTTAAGTTCCAACTGGGGGACCTGGCACAAGTTATGAAACTCTTTTTGTGCCTTAATTTCCTCATCTGTAAAATGGGGATGGTAATACCGCAAAGGGATGAAGTGAGAAACAAAATGAGCTAATCCATGTGAAGTGTTCAGTATAGTGCCTGACACATAGTAAACAGCCAATGAATTTTAGTTATTATTAAGTATCATTGCTATTCTTCTGAGCATGTGCATATGGGTGGACTGGTCTTTTGTGGTTTAGTGTCATTCTGGCATCATTTCAATATAATATTTGGGAAAAGCAGCCTATTAATGGGTGTGTGGAGCAGTGACGTGTGTGTGTGTGTGTGTGTGTGTGTGTGTGTGTGTACCTGCATGTTCTTTCCTGCCCAAGTCATTGGAAGGTCTAGTTTGAAATTATTTTTAAGTGTGAGGTTCAGTGCTTTTTAATACATTCACAAAGCTGTACAATCATAACCACTATCTAACTCAGAACATTTTTCATCAGTTCAAAGAGAAGCACTATATCCATTGGCAGTCACTGGCTGCCCTCCCCTCCCTGCCATTCACCCCCACCCCCCAACTCCCCACAGTCAACCACTAATCTACCTTCTGGTTTCAGAGGTTTGACTCTTCTGGACATTTTGTACAAATGGAATCATTCATTATGTGGCCTTTTGCATCTGACTTCTTTCACTTAGCGTAAGGTTTTCAAGTTTCATCCATGTTGTAGGGTGTATCCGCATTTCATTCTTTTTTTGTCATTGGGTAATATTCCATTGTATGGATATATTACATTTTATTTATCAATTGATGGACATTTGGGTAGTTTCCACTTTTTGGCTTTTATAAATAATGCTGCTACAAACCGTGGTGTACAAGTTTTTGTGTGGACGTATGTTTTCTGTTCTCTTGGGTATATACCTAGAAGTGGAATTGCTGGGTCATATAATGAATTCTATATTTAACTTTTATTTTTTTAATAACTTTATTTATTTATTTTTGGCTGTGTTGGGTCATTGTTTCTGTGCGAGGGCTTTCTCTAGTTGCGGCGAGCGGGGACCACTCTTCATCGTGGTGCACGGGCCTCTCACTGTCGCAGCCTCTCTTGTTGCAGAGCACAGGCTCCAGATGCGCAGGCTCAGTAGCTGTGGCTCACGGGCCCAGTTGTTCTGCGGCATGTGGGATCCTCCCAGACCAGGGCTCGAACCCGTGTCCCCTGCATTGGCAGGCAGATCCTCAGCCACTGCGCCACCAGGGAAGCCCCTGCATTTAACTTTTTGAGGAGCTGCCAGGCTATTTTCCATAGTGGTTGGTTTGGAATCTTGATGTGGTGAAATGATATGGTCAGATGGTCGTAACTTTATTTTTTATTAAGAACTTCATTCTTCATGTCATTTTTTTTTTCATTTATAAAAAAGGTTTTGTACAGATATCTCCTCCCCCCAGCTAAATCCTTTATTCTATGGTAAAACAGTGGTTTTCAAGTTTTATTTCATACCCCAAGGTAATAGTGCCTGGAAGGGGTGTGGTCAGAGGGAAGATGTATGTCATTTGTATGCCTGATCACCTGTAGTCCTTTTCCAAAATGGACCAGGGACTCTTCGTTAGTTCAAGAAAACCAATTTTTAATCTCAGCTCATTTGCCAATCTGACATTTCCACTTGTGTTCTTGACCTTGTTCCTTTTGCTTTTCCTGGAACCTTGTATGTGAAAGAGAATGGTGGTCGCTTGTCTGGTTTGCATCTGTATTTTTCAATGTCCCACTAGTTCTTTCTTTGCCCTTTCTCTGGAAATATGCTGGGGCCTCCTTTGACTAAAAATTCATCCTGATATTGTCATTTTCTTTAGCTGCCATCCTTTGCAGCAGGTGCAAATGTCTCTAAAGTATAGTCAGCTGTACCCCTACCTCCTTCTTCACCTCCCACTCATCCTGAGATTTGTCTCCTTCCCCTGCAAGAGTACATGAAATGTAATGTTCTTTTGAAAGTTTCAAGAGAAAGAAATTTGCTCCTGTTTTCTCGCTGTACACGAGTACCCCTGTGCTGACCATCCTGGCCTTATTTCTCATTTCGTCTTTCCCTGGCCTCCGATCTCACATTCTCTAGTCTCTGTGCCCGTGATCTGTGTAATCATTCTGGTTTCCCTTCTGGTGCCTCTGTTAATGGCATAATTGTTAGCTAGACATCTTTTTGTTTTCTCTACTGCTGAAGATTCTACTCGGGTTTTAAGGCCCGTTTCAGTTGCCCCCTGTATGATGAAGTCTTAGAAGGTCTCTCCAAGCAGTTATGGTATCTCTTTTCTTTCTTTTTACCCCTCAGGTCACTTACTGCATTCTGCCTGGTATTATTACACTTATAAGGTGGGTGCTGCAACCCCTGCCAGACTGGAGGTTCTAATCTAGATTGGGGGGGCATGAATCTTTCCTTAGCATTCGCTGTTGTGTTGCACAGTCCCCCACGTGGAGTAAGAACTGAATAAATACTTTTGGATTAATATAAATTATAATAGCCATTAATTTCTTCCTATGTGTAAATTTTAAGAAATGTATTTAAAACAAAATGTTATGAAGAATAACAGCATAAGCACGCACATACCCAGCACCACACACCTTAAGAAAACATTGGGCTTCCCTGGTGGCGCAGTGGTTAAGAATCCGCCTGCCAATGCAGGGGACACGGGTTCGAGCCCTGGTCTGGGAAGATCCCACATGCCGTGGAGCAACTAGGCCCGTGAGCCACAACTAGTGAGCCTGCGCGTCTGGAGCCTGTGCTCCGCAAGAAGAGAGGCTGCGACAGTGAGAGGCCCGCGCACCGCGATGAAGAGTGGCCCCCGCTCGC